AGCCACAATGAAATGTCATGGGCTGCATTTTCTAGTTATACACGCCCACATTGGGCATGTTCAAATGATTTCAATTTTAAAACTAACCAACAACGAAACGCCGCCACTTAAGGCATGCGCAATATTTAACACACAAGCGAAAAGCGAGTGAGACGAACAGTTACACTAGCCAGTAGACGAGCGACCACAAGAGTAAAAACAATGCTATGCATATGTAGTAAGTATGCATGCATAAGTATGTAGTATGCATATATGTATGTAGAAAGGTATTACAATAATACTAACTGCATGGATGAAAGCGGAAATAAATCCAAGTTGGAATTGAGATTGAACAATAAAAACGTTTACAGGTGCAACTGATGCTGTCGTTATATGCATATCCATATGTAAATATGTATATATATGCATATATGTATCCTCATATGTACATACATAACCCAGTGCAAATCTTATGCATACGGCATCGATTTTGGTGGCATGAACTTGCTGCTGTGTATGCATGCCAGTATAAATGTACTTTCATTTCGATTTAACACATGTGGTTTCTCAGAGCGTATGCGTACTCTAACCATACACTTGTACTACTGTTGTATGCCTATGGCTTTATTAATGTTTCAAACATGGAAAAGCACTAGTATAAAGCCCTGTTAGTGCCGAAAATATTATCGCACAACACGTCCGTTCGCTAAAATTTTAGCACAAGACTGAAAATATTACAAACATGATGCTGTATAGTAGTCAAATTTATAGTGAAATGTACTTAAATTAACAATAATGTACGCCAGCGTTGCCACTTTGTGAGTAATTCCTCAAAACGTTTGGAATTTGGGGAGCGCTTGAGTATTTTTTGAGGATTTTTATTTTGAGGAATTTTCTCTCGATATATTTGCAGATAACAAATGCAACCATGTTTACACAATAGAGTTGTTAAATCGCACTACAAATTTTTGAACAAAAAACTTTCCGAAGTTTTAAAAGAGCGAAATACACCACACAAGCGGCTTGTCCAACATTCTTCAAACCGACTTTTTCATTTCGCCATACACCATGGAAACATGACTCGTTCAAGCAAATAATTTTAGTTTTCTTCCGGCTCACTATGTAAAAGGGTTTGGTTTTCTTAGACTTTTTTCCCTTGCGCCCTCATTCGGTAAAAATACAAAAATTTGATTTTTGCTCACATTTCCCTCAAATGGCTTGTCAAACCATCAAAAATTTCCATACACAACATAAATAGCTTTAAGCAAAGGGATATTCCGCTTGGTTTGTCAAGCTGCGTGTGTGGTGTTTTTCGCTCTTAAGCACATCTGCATTTGCTGCTAAATATTGTAATGTTATCGATAATTTTTTTCATTCCATCGTTATATTTTCAACTTATTTTGAACTTGCAATATCTCGATAATGAATGGAGAGAACACGCATTTTTCGATCATAAGGATATTCATATTGATTCTTCATTAGATCCAGAAAATTATAGGAAACAAATTTTTGAATTAAAAGATTCTTCAGGTTCATATAAGTTTCCCAATTAAAAAAAAATCTGCATTACTAATATAGCCCTTTTCTAATGCTTCGGTAGAACGTATATTTAGTAGTTTAAAAATGTGTAGAACTGACTTGAGGACCAGATTGAGCACTGATATAGTTGCAGAAATGTTATATACAAACCAAGGCATAAATATAATGGTGATACTTTGTTTGAACCGCAAGAACAAATGTACCAATTGATTGGAGAATGTAATTAATTTTTATGCTAAGTACCTACCTGTAAATAGTAAATAAGAAAACCTTGAGTAATTTGTTCCGATTTTGAGGATTTTTCATTTGTTTTTGTGGAATTTGATAATTTTCTTGTGGCAACACTGATGTACGTTCGCTTATAGTTCGCCAGAATTTGACTTTATTTCTGGAAATTCATGGCCGCTCATGAATTGTTCACACCTTTTCACTCATACAGCATGCATATTTCATGAATGCTTACAACCGATTTCTACTGGGAAGTTTGCATATATGCGCATACATACATAACGTTGTTTAAAGAACAAAACCGCGTATCAAGATAATGCAAAACCGCGTATGTGAGGTAGCATAAATTATTTTCTAGAGAGTAAAAACACTCATATTTCAAAATGGTTCTCTTTTTTTATAAAGCAATCGCATTTATGGCTAATATATTTCAGGACGAATGAATAAGGCTTGAGCCAAGAGCTTGTGTGAGCAAATCCTATTTTTGGCAAAAAATGTCAGTTACGCGGTTTTGCAGAACGACGATACGCGGCTTTGTACTTTAAACGACGACATGTATGAATATTCATTTCGATGAACAATACTTTATACAATGAATATAGGGGGTTTATATATGTGTGTACAATGTACACTGGACATATACCAAAGATTACACCAAACAAAAGTATTTATGAACATACGAGCATGCATTGCAATTATATATGTACTTATGTACATATGTATGTAAATTTGGGTGGTCCAAAAATGCATTTAAAAAAGTAAAGTCGGAATTTTTATGCTCTCACCCCCTAGGATTATAATATATCGAAAGAATATACCCCTCTTGTTTTATTTTAGAATCAAAAAATCTTTAGAGGTCGCCCAAAGCGCTCACAATTTTCCATGTATTTTATATGGGGAAAAAACGATTTTTCGTAGAATTGGTATAGAATTCTTGAAAATCAATAACCCTGTTTCTCTTCAGGAGATTCCCAGTAAAATAGTTAAATATGTTTTTATAGGTCCGCTAAAACCCATAGAAAATGCCAGAAAAAGCTATGGGGGGATAAATAAGAAATCCTTACCATTGAAAAATGGTTAAATAAACAATTGGATATTGTTAGTGGAAGTCTCCTGAAGACAACCAGAGTTTTCCGATCGAAAAACATTTATTATCAAGAATTCCATACCATTTCCACGAAAAATTGTTTTTTTTCCCCATATAAAATACATGGAAAACTTTGAGCGACCTCTAAATATTTTTTGATTTCAAAATAAAAAAATAGGGGTATACCTTTTTCGATATAGAACAATCCTAGGGGGTGAGAGCATTAAAATTCCGACTTTACTTGTTTTGGAGCACCCTAATGTACATACATATATGTATATGTCTATACGCGTATGTGCATTAAATTGTAATTTCATTGGATGTTTAAATGTAGGCTGAAAGGGTCGTAGCCAGTCTCACTGTTTTATGCATTTATGTACCGCATCCATACATACATATATATGTACATATGTACATCCTTCCGTAGACTCTTTCTTATGCCTTTTATGAAGATAAAATGGTATTTAGACTGTTCGAATAGATGTCCAGTGAAAAATACCCAGCAGCAACTTGCAGAAGACTATTCTCTTTCAACTTGGAAAATATCGAAAAAAGGACGCTAACGCACAATTAACAAAAACTTGCAAGTTTTAGGTACAGCTGATCGATATGTTGTTTACATACGAAAGCATGAAATAGAAAACATGAAAAGAATATATGCATGTCTATAAATTAAAAGTTTGCCTAAAGCAAATTGCTAAGCAAACGTAAGAAAATGAGTATTTGCCCTCTTCACAAACATTTGGAGTTCTAATAAGTTATTTTAAACTTAAAAGCATTAAAATAATATTCACCATTTTCGTAAATTGCAGACAAATGACTTTGATTAGAGAAGAATAAGCAACTTCCCAATTTCTCCTACTTTGCAAGTTTTTTGCACACAAGAAAGCCAAAACGCAAAACTAGTTCTTCAGTTGAGTGTGTTAATAATTTCTTGGAGCCAACAAAATCGCACCCATCGTAATTCGAACATAGCAAATAGTTCCTTGAAATCCGAAAATCTCGAAGTTGACTCGAAAATCTGGAAATAGTTTCGATAATCTCGAAATAGTCCCGAGAATACCAAAAATGCCGAAATAGTCCCGGAAATCCCGAAATAGTCCCTAGAATCCCAAAAATCCCAATAACCTCGAAATGGCCTAGAAATTCACAAAATAGTCTTTAGAATCCCGAAAATTCTAGTAACCCCGAAGTAGTCTTGAAAATCTCTAAATAGTCCCGAAAGTGCTAGAAATTACGTAGTAGTCTCGAAAATACCGAAATAGTCTCAAAAATCCCGAAGATCCAAAAATGTTGCAGTAATCTCGAAAACCTTAGTCCCAAAAGTTCTAAAAATCCCAAAATATTCCCGAGAATTCTGGAGATCACGCGCTACAGCTGACAGCTGTACGTTTCAATGTCCTTAACTAAACATATCATTACAATTAATAATTTTTTATTTGTTGTTGTTGTGATTTGATCTGCTGATCAATGAGATAAATTCAGGTGAGGTGAGGAGATGAATTGAGGTAAGTCCAGATGAAGTAAATTCTTGTGAATCCTAGTGAGTTAAGATGTGGTGAGTTTAGTGAGCTAATCTGGGGGAGGTGACTTAAAGTGAGGTGAGTTGAGGTGAAGTGAGTTGTGGTAAGGTGAGTAGAGGGAATGTAAGGTAAATTGTTTATTGCTTTATTATTTCCTCAATCAGAAAGTATTTAGTTTGTAAGTATTTAGCCATCTATGTATAGACTGCATCACCAAAAAAAGTTGCGGTTTTCCGCCGGGAGTACAAAACTTATTATAGTTTAAGACGTCAACCAAAATATTTCGGAAAAATGTTAAGATTTAAGCAAGCTGGACCGATTTGAAAATACCTCCAAACATGAAGTTTTTATGAATAAAAACAGTTTCTTAAAGAACTTTTTGAAAAAAGTCCGCTCAGATGACAAAGCAGATTAGGCTTAAAAAATCTGCATAAAAATATTTCAAAATCTTTTCAATGGGATCGTAATAACGAGATTTTTGATGCTGTTTTTTTTTACTTTTTTCAAAGATTGAGTTACGAAAAACTTAAATAACTGGGCCAAAACTATTCTAATTTAGACTTACGGGATCTCGGTAGAAAGGTATTTTCCCACTATTTTTATTTATGTGCAAAAAAAGTCATTCGTGTCCCAATTTTTTTTTCTCAAATACCAAAACATCTTAGTTCAACTTTGAATGATGCTCGTTCATCCCACCTTTCTCTTACANTTTTTATTTATCTGCAAAAAAAGTCATTCGTGTCCCAATATATATATATATTTTTTTTTCAAATACCAACACATCTTAATTCAACTTTAAATGATGCTCGTTCATCCTACCTTTCACTTTCATTCTTTGAATGAGCTTATTAGAAAAGAAATTAAAAACAAACAGCAGTTAAAAATTACTTTTTTAACTTATGTATGTGAATTTTACTCATTATGTAAGAAAAATACGAATTTTTCAGATAATTTTGAATTNATAATGCTCTGAGTCAGGAACAGATGGTTCAAGACCGACCATACGTGGCGACGAGTCACACCGTGCGAGAGGTGCCCCATTCTTTTTTATAAATCATATATTTTGCAATTTAATACAATAAAACCACGTTTCCTGTCGAAAAATTAAGTATTGAGAAAATTTACTATTTTACGGTTTATTTTATCTTCCCATTCTGCCTGTTGTTAGTGTTTAGTGTTGGACAATTTTTGCTCTTAAAGTTAAGAAAATTATGTCGAGCAAAAATAAAACTTGTGTTGTGAAGGCGGTGTCCTTTAGGGACGCGTTGTGTGGAGTGAAGCTGGGCATAATCCCTGAGGATTACCCAACCACCATATGGTATCCAGGGTGCGATCTTGAAGGCGGTCAGGAGCAATCACGATAGTGGTGTAAAGCCTATCTTTGCTGGCTGCACTTTCCGCTGTCATGGATGGCTGTCAGTCGGCTGTACGGATGCGGCAACAGCGGGGTGGATAAGAGAAGTCACCACAAAACTAACCCCTTGGAAAGGAGCAAAGCTGGGCAAGGGTGGATGAAGTCCCCATTGCTGTGGACCCAATTTTTGCTGATATTATCAGGAGAAGGGCGTGGAACATTAACTATGGTTTTGGCATGGTCACGCTACGAGAAAAGGCTAAGCCATCTTTGCCCGTGGTAATTAGTGATACCACCCGCACTGACGAAGAGGAGCAACCATGCTGCTTGAAAACCCTGACCGAGGCTTTCAAGCAGCCTTTAGTGGAAATGAGGGGGAAAAGGCAGGAGCAGCAGTCGTCAGAGGCGGAAATGGCGAAGCTGAACAGCCGGAAGCAACAAAAGTCAGTTCGACATCGCCTCCGCGACCGAGGAACATTCCGTACCCGATCCTACAAGAGGTACTGAAATCAGCGCAAAAGGATCTCCCGGTTGTGTCCCAAAGCTGATTGTCAGACCACCCCTTCAGGGCAACTCACATAAGGGTTCGTCCCGAAGAGCGAAAGGTGGCGCGCGATCGGCCGAGGAGATGGCCTTGCTGGGTAGAAATACTGGGAAGAAGGTGGCTGCTCGCGGCCGCAAAGACCGCAAGTAATGTCGTCTCTCCCAAAAAAGCTCCCTGCAGTCCAAGGATCTAGTTGCGGTCTGGGCGAAAATACTCCAAGGGGTGTGCAAGAGGCACTACTTGCCTCCGCGTATTTCCCTGGTGAGGAGGAGACAGCCCCAACACCAGAGATCAAGGTATTTGTGGAATACTGCAAGCAGAGTGGTCGACCCTGGATCATCGCAACAGAGGAATGGCCATAATAATGTATGGGGGAGCATCAACACCAACAAAAGAGGTGAGTACCTTCTTGAGTGCATTAGTAGCTATAATATAAGTATTATAAACCGTGCCAACGAAACAACTTTCAGAAATGCTCTTAGAGGGGATGTTTTAGATCCGACTATGATTAGTTATAATATGTCGTCGTCTGTTACAAACTGGCACGTCTCGGGGGAGGTATCAAAGTCATATGCACATAGAGTTCAACATTGGTAACTTTCCAGAACAGTAACTAGTTTTTAGAAATCCTAGAAAACCGAACTGGGAACTCTTCGACTTATTATGGAGGAAGGCGGAAACAGCCCAATGAGTCCAATCACGACCACACAGGAGCTTGAGACCGAGGCTGAACAGCTTTGCATATTGGAATAGCTTTCAACCGTAGCTGTCCCAAAGGAAAGGTAAAATCCAAACGTGATGTGCCTTGGTGGAGCAAGAAGCTTGAGTAACTGAGAAACCAAGCAAGAAGGCAAAAATTACGGGTGATTGGAACCCGTATAAAATTGCCCTAACCTCCTACAACAAAGAGTTAAGAAGATCCAAAAGAGCTAGCGGGCGAAACCACTGCGTGGAAATTAACAGCCTCCCAGAGGCAATACGCCTCCAAAAAGCTCTAACAAGGGATCACAAGAACACAATCGGCACTCTGAAAAGACCAGATACATACAGCATCCGGGTGAGACCTGCCAACTATTGCTTGATACTTATTTCCCGGGCAGTGCAGTAGGCTACTGTCGACCAGAAGTGGGTGCTCGAACACCCACTTTTGGAAGGGAAAAAAGCCTTGCTACAGAGCTCACCACTGTAGAACGTGTGCAATGGGCTCTATCAACATTTAGTCCATACAAATCGCCAGGACCAGATGGGTCTATCCATGCCTCCTTCAACATGGAATAAACTACATAGCCCCACTCCTCGCTCTTGCTGAGTTATATTCCCAGCAGATGGCCTGAGATTAAGGTCGTATTTTTACCAAAACCATGTAAGCCGAAACAACTACCATCGTCCTACCGACCAATTAGCGTCAGTTCCTTTCTCCTAAAAGGCATGGAGAAAATACTGGATCAGTATATCAGAAAAGTCAACCTAAGGGAACGGCCTGCGAACCAGAACCAATTTGCCTATCAACCAGGCAAATCCACTGAGGCAGCCACTCATAGCATCACCTTAAAAATTGAGAAAACTCAGGAGTCTAAAAATATAGCCCTTTGTGCCTTCATTGACATTTCGGGGGCTTTTGATAACACATCATATAAGGCAATAGATGATGCATTGATGAGCAAGGGTATGAGCCCAATAATAAATACGTAAATGGGTTCTATCAATGCTAAGAACAAGTAAAATCAGTATGGAATTAGGAGGCGCGACAGAATCGATAACAGCCACAAGGGGTTGCCCTCAAGGGGGTGTACTCTCTCCCCTTTTGTGGACTATGGTTATAGACGAACTCCTTTTCAAACTGAACCGCCAGGGCTTTGATACTCAGGGTTACGTGGACGATCTGGTAATCTGCATAACAGGACTGCATGACGAAACCATCACCAACCGCATGCAATAAGCCCTACGCATCATACAAAAATGGTGTAAGGTAAAGGACTAACTATTTATTCTACGAAAACTATTATTGTACCATTTACTCGAAGGAGAAAGTTAACTATGACTAAACTCTCTTTGAGCGGGACACAAATAGAATTTTCCAGTAAAGAAAAATAGCTGGGGATAACTCTTGTTAAACACTCAACTGGAATGCGCATTTGGATGCGGTTATCAACAAGGCGACAAGGCTCTCTTTGCCTGTTCGCGACTCCTTGGTAAAACATGGGGCCTCACCCCCAAAATGACCTATTGGTCATTTAATACTATAATACAACCGATAGTAACCTATGCATCCTTGGCATGGTGGACCTAGGCTACACAAAGGACTGTAAGCACGAAACTAAGTAAATTGCACCGAATGATTTGCATTGACATAACAGGGGCCATGAAGACCTGCCCTGCTGATGCACTCAGCGCCTTAGTTGAAATACTTCCCTTTTCTATTTTAATAGAAATAGAGGCGACCACCGCGGAACTAAGAATCCTAAACACTTCTGATCTGAAGATTGGAAATATGACGGGCCACATGAGGGTCCTAATGTTCGCCAATGACCCCATTTTGCAAATGCGTGACGCAATAGTCACAAAACTAGAAATCTCTAGAAAATTTGAGGTACACATTGCAGATCGAGCTCTCTGGGATACAGGGAACCCATACACCAAACCAAATGGAGAGGTTTGGTACACGGATGGATCTAAACTTGATAGTGGTAAAACTGGGGCTGGCATATCTGGGCCGAACTTCAAAAAATCGAGACCGATGGGTACCCAACTATCTTTCAAGTGGAGCAAAGATTGCCTTAGAAGAGGCACATCCTCGAAATATATCTACATTTTGTCGGACAGTCAACCAGCCCTACTGGCACTGAAGTCTCACAAAATAAATTCCCAGCTAGTATATGGTAGCTTTAATCTTCTAAACGGTCTTGGTGCCAAAAATACTGTTTTATTAGGATGGGTACCGGGAAATAGTCTCAAAAATCCCGAAGATCCAAAAATGTTGCAGTAATCTCGAAAACCCTTGTCCCAAAAGTTCAAAAAATCCCGAAATATTCCCCAGAATTCTGAAGATCACGCGCTACAGCTGATAGCTGTATGTTTCAATGTCCCGAACTAAACATATCATTACAATTAATAATTTTTATTTGTTGTTGTTGTGATTTGATCTGCTGATCAATGAGATAAATTCAGGTGAGGTGAGGAGATGAATTGAGGTAAGTCCAGATGAAGTAAATTCTTGTGAATCCTAGTGAGTTAAGATGTGGTGAGTTTAGTGAGCTAATCTGGGGGAGGTGACTTAAAGTGAGGTGAGTTGAGGTGAAGTGAGTTGTGGTAAGGTGAGTAGAGGGAATGTAAGGTAAGTTGTTTATTGCTTTATTATTTCCTCAATCATAAAGTATTTAGTTTGTAGGTATTTAGCCATCTATGTATAATAGACTGCATCACCAAAAAAAGTTGCGGTTTTTCCGTCGGGGTTACAAAACTTATTATACTTTAAGACGTCCACCAAAATAATTCGGAAAAATATTAAGATTTAAGCGAGCTGGACCGATTTGAAAATACCTCCAAAAATGGAGTTTGTATGAATAAAAACAGTTTCTTAAAGAACTTTTTGAAAAAAGTCCCCTCAGATGACAAAGCAGATTAGGCTTAACAATTTTGCATACAAATATTTCAAAATCTTTTCAATGGGACCGTAATAACGAGATTTTTGATGCTGTTTTTTTACTTTTTTCAAAGATTGATTTACGAAAAACTTAAATAACTGGGCCAAAACTATTCTAATTTAGACTTACGGGATCTCGGTAGAAAGGTATTTTCCCACTAATTTTATTTATGTGCAAAAAAAGTCATTCGTGTCCCAATTTTTTTTTCTCAAATACCAAAACATCTTAGTTCAACTTTGAATGATGCTCGTTCATCCCACCTTTCTCTTACATCCTTTGAATGAGCTTATTAGCAAAGAAATAAAAAAGGGTGAGAAAATACCTTTCCAATGATACCTCACAAGTCGGGGGTCAAGGCTCTTGATATTGCTCCATACGTGGCGTAATGCTCTGAGTCAGGAACAGATGGTTCAAGACCGACCGTACGTGGCGACGAGTCCCACCGTGCGAGAGGTGCCCCTGATTTTACTGAATATGGCGGATCTAGAAAGGACAACTCGATAAAACCCGTAATTCCGAGTAGTGATCGGACTTGAAAAAAAACTTGTGTGGTAGAATCTGGAAAAAAATGTGGTAGATTTAAAAAAAATGTGGTAGATGTCATCTCTTTGATCAAACTTTGTACAAAAATTTAAAAAATTCTGCGAGGTTTCGCCTAAATTGAAAACCTTTTAATTAGAATCTAAAAAAATAATAATTTTAGTATAAAAAATTGCAAGATTGAAGTTGCTAAAAATTGCGTTGAGTTTTGACAATTTTTTTCCTTGGCAATGTAAAGCAGTTCCTTCTATATCAAGATATTTTTCGAACATATTTTGAAAGATTTCTGCAACCTTGCGGAGCGCTGGCAGCTTTTTTTTTACCACATCACGATGTAGCGAACAAATGTGGCACGTTCCAGAAACCGCTACTTGGGATTTGCCGATTTTGACAATTCTCAAGCAAAAGTAAACAACGCTTTAGAAACTTTAGATGCACTGAAATTCGCTAATACTTTCACAAAAATCGCCATTTTTTAAAATTTTCGCTATTAATTCTTTTTTATAAATCATATATTTTGCAATTTAACACAATAAAACCACGTTTCCTGTAGAAAAATTAAATATTGAGAAAATTTACTATTTTACGGTTTATTTTATCCTCCCATTCTGCCTGTTGTTAGTGTTTAGTGTTGGACAATTTTTGCTCTTAAAGTTAAGAAAATTATGTCGAGCAAAAATAAAGCTTCTCAAAAACACGAATATGTGGTAGATTTCAGACCTTGTGTGGTAGATGCTCAAAAAAGTGGCAGATCTACCACAATGTGGTAGAAGTCCAATCACTGATTCCGAGTGTCATCCGTACCGTGCTTATGGAATGAATGGCACTACGTTATTTTGTCTTATAATGGAGGCCTCCAGATACATGGCGACATCTGGTTGTAAGCAGTCCGGCTCGGGATAGTGGGGGCTGTGTCCCAGCTGACATACTTTCCCCCATACTCGTGGGACCTACCATGAATATTAAAGAAAATAATACTTTTTTTACAAAAGCCAGACGGAGCTGAACAGCTCCAAAACCAACTGTCCGGGATGCAAGTCCCGGGAAGTTGCTATCTGACATCTCGCCGGAGGAGGAGCAGGAACTTCTTGCCACTCCTACCAACAACGCTATGCACGGACAGGCTCGAGAGCATGAGAGGCTGCGTGGAGCCGCCAGGAGACGCCTCAAGCGCTATATTGATAAGGGCATGGACTATAAGGAAGCCAGGAGACTGTCTGAGGCTTCAATAGGGCTTCCGAGCAAGAAAGTATCGGCCAATAAGATGGCCAGATCCAACAGCTCCACTCCGACAGAACGCGCCACGAAAAGATGCCGACGCCTGGGAACAACAAGCCGCAAGGGGTTGCCCTCAAGGGGGTGTACTCTCTTCCCTTTTGGGGACTATGGTTATAGACGAACTCCTTTTCAAACTGAACCGCCAGGGCTTTGATACTCAGGGTTACGCGGACGATCTGGTAATCTGCATAACAGGACTGCATGACCAAACCATCACCAACCGCATGCAACAAGTCCTACGTATCATACAAAAATGGTGTAAGGTAAAGGACTAACTATTTATTCTACGAAAACTATTATTGTACCATTTACTCGAAGGAGAAAGTTAACTATGACTAATTTCTCTTTGAGCGGGCCACAAATAGAATTTTCCAGTGAAGCAAAATAGCTGGGAATAACTCTTGTTAAACACCCAACTGGAATGCACATTTGGATGCGGTTATCAACAAGGCGCCAAAGGCTTTCTTTGCCTGTTCGCTACTCCTTGGTAAAACATGGGGCCTCACCCCCAAAATGACCTATTGGTCATTTAATACTATAATAAAACCGATAGTAACCTATGCATCCTTGGCATGGTGGACCTAGGCTACACAAAGGACTGCAAGCACGAAACTAAGTAAATTGCACCGAATGATTTGCATTGACATAACTGGGGCGATGAAGACCTGCCCTGCTGATGCACTCAGCGCCTTGGTTGAAATGCAAGAGAAGTATCGATCGCGAACGGACGTGTTTTTTATCGCTCTGGTTATGGTGTAAAAAATATAACAATATTGCAAAGTGTAAAGTTAATAGTTGCATTATTAGATTAATAGTGTGAAAAATAACGATTTAAACTAATAAGCCAACCAATAAGTCGAAATAAAAACAAAATTCAAATAAGCAAAATTGACAAATAATAGCGCGCATTTAAGTTGATGTACATACATACGTATGCATATTCATCCAAACATAGCGGCTGCTGAGTGAGTGCGAAGATGTCGGAATGCGCGAAATGCCGAAAAGGCGTCAGAGGAGAGTCGGGTGTGCGTTGCCAAGGTGTGTGTGGGAAAGTGTACCATAGAACGCAAGCATGTGCGTCGGCTGACGATTACAGCCTAAAGGCACTAGAGAACTGTCCCCTCCTACGCTTCATGTGCGACAACTGCATGATGTACATAGCCAAGAATGATAGAATACAAGATTGCGCCGATCAGAGAGGATTTTTGAGAATAACTTTTGTGTGACTTCACACTGGTGCAATTGCGAGAGAGAAATACCAAAACGTGAGCAAGAATGGAAGAAGAAGAAAAAATATTTTAAGGAAAACGTAAACAAGTTGCACAAGTGTGACGTCATGCAAACCACGATTCTGTCAAATTCGTTAAGAGAGGAATAGCGGTCCGAGATCGGCGCAACCTTTGTATTCTCTCAATCGTGGTACATAGCCAATGTGGATGAAGCTCTTAGAGAAATGATAGGTATAGCTGAGGCCAACAACATGAATGTAATAGAACAAAAAACAGATATTGAAAAAATGTTAAAAAATCACAGCAAAGAGGTAAAAATGTTAGTTGATAGTATAAAGAAGGAAAACCAAGAAAAACTTGATGCAATAAAAAGAGTTGAGGGACTATGTAGGGTAGATTCATCCACTAGTGAGCTATGCAAACAAAAACAAGAAATAATTAGCGAGGTGAAGAAAGTGACAACTATAAGCCAAGAGAAAGCACAAAGTGGTGTGGGTGTATCGTATGCCAATGCATTGAAAGGTATTCCTCCTATAATTGTCAGGCCGAAAAACAAACAAGCGGCTGAGAAGACTAGGGTGGACCTTAATAAGATCGATGCATCTGATATGAAAATTGATAGAGTGTCAAATAAGAATAACGGGGCAGTGGTTATAAACGCAAATAGCGTTTCAGATAAGGACAGAATAAAATCTGCTCTAGCAGACAGCTTAAATAAAGAAGTGTACGACATCACTGAACCCAAAGTTAATACGCCTAAAATTTTGTTAGCGCACATAAACGCTGAATATTCTGAGACGGAGATAATAAATAAGATAAAAGCTCAGAATAGCTATTTAAATGATGCGAGTTTGAAATGTGTAAAAATATTTAAGTCCAGGCGCAGTGGTGAGGCATTTCCTTCATTCAGTGCAATAATAGAAATTGAGCACAAATTCTTCCTGCAGGTATTGGAGTCAAAGAGACTTAATATTGGGTGGGATCGATGCCCCGTCTATGATGGGCAAACCGTGAGAAGATGCTACAAGTGTCTGGGCTTCAACCATAGCTCTAACAGCTGTAACAAAAAGCTTAGGTGTAGCAAATGCATGGGAGAGCACAAGTCTGAAAGTTGCACTGACAGTAGCCAAAAAGAAGTTTGTGGAAATTGTTGTGATGCTGTTAAAGAGTTAGGGCTAAACCTGGATGTAGCGCACAACGCATTTAGTCGTGAATGTCCTGTCTATATTACGAAACTGAAACTAGAGAAACAAAGAGTAGGATGTTAGCAATTAGGTGTAATGGAAAAGCGTAACAGTTACTTAAAATGCGTGTATCTTAATATAAATAGTATAATAGCCAATAAAGCCGAGCTTGAAAGGCTTCTTGAGACTGTTGATCCGGATATAGTTTTATGCTCCGAAACATGTACAACAGAGGAAATAAACGACTCCGAAATCAAGTTTCCAACTTATCAGTTTATTAGATGCGACTCGTATAGTAGACACACTGGCGGGGTAATTGTAATTTTGAGAGACACAATAGACTTTAAAATAATAATAAATAGATCCACTGATAAAAATGTCTGGTGTATAGTGGTACAATTGAGAAATTTTGAAACCAAATGGAAAATCGGGGTAGTCTATCACTCACCCAGTTCGAGTGATGCAGATTTTCTGACATATATGGAAGCCATTTTGTCCGAAACATGCGCTAACATGGTAAATACCATTATTATTGGGGATTTTAATATAAATATGAATATATCATCGACATATAGTAGGAAGCTTAATGAGATATTCTCTCAGAAGGCAATGAAACAGTTAATCAACTTCGATACCAGGGTTACTGCACAGTCCGAAACGCGCATCGACTTGTTATACTCTAACACTAATGAAGTTTCATGTGAAAAAGCTGAGGAACATAGAATAACGGATCACGAAACCATAATGTTCAAATGCAATATAAAAAAACAAGGCGAAATCAATAAACTCTCTGAATTAATTTCTTGGGATGAGTACAGCCCAGACAACCTCATAAATCTTTTGAGACAATGCCACTTTGCAAACCTGAATAGTTTCAATATTGATGATATGCTCGAACATATCAACCTTTGTTTGATTTCGAGTATGAATCAACTAACTTCTCGGGTACAAAGGCGGGTTAAACTTAGAAATAAATGGTATGATAGACAACTGACTGACACTAATAAAGAAAAGTTTAGGTTACACCAAAGGGCAGTACTCACAGGTGATTGGGTAGATTACAACAAAATAAAGAAAGAGTATAAGAAAATGATCAAAATTAAGAAAATTCAGTATATGGAACACAAGGTAGAAA